ATGCATAGGTCTAATCTAGGTAGTACAGTGAAGTTGTTAACATCTACTGTAGATGACTCTAACTACAATTTAAGAGGTCGTATATATGCTTTGATGCATTAAAGAAAGTCTACGTGGAGGGGTGTAGACCTTTAATTGGGTTAGATGGTTGCTTCTTGAAGGGAAAATGTAAGGGTGAGCTTTTGGTTGCTGTTGCTAGGGATCCCAATAACCAAATGTATCCACTTGCACGGGCCTTTGTGGAAGGTGAGAATAGGAGGAGTTGGACTTGGTTCATGACTTTTCTGAAGGATGGCATTGAGGCTGCAGATGGAAGAGGGCTGACTATTGTTTCTGATCAACAGAAGGTAATATTGTTACATATTTTTTTACCTCTATTGCTGAATTTTGTGCTATATTCTTATGTTTAGGGTGTATTGTTTTAAGTTTTTGTTCAGATTTTGAGCAAAGTAAAGAAGAAGAAGTGAATATTCAGGATTTTAGCTACTAATAGGTCAACTTTGGTTGTAAAACTACATTAGGTGGGCCAGAGAAAGAATCTAGAAAAATTATTGTTGAAAGCCCTATGTTTCTAGTTCACACGTTTCATGCGGTTCGTGAATCAAAGTTTTCTAGATGACGTTATGACCGTTTAAGCGAAGGAAGGTCCAGAATTGACAGTCTAACCTTCCTTCGCTTAAACGGCAATTACTTCCTCTAGAAAACTCTGATTCATGATTTGTTTGAATATAGTGAATCTAGACACATAGGGCTTTAACCATAATTTTTTCAGATTTTTTGTCTAGCCCAATGAGTGTAGATTTTTTCAAATTTCATGACCCGTTTATATTTGGTAGATATATTATTTGGTGAATGTGTAGGTAGTGATTGAAGTTCATGTAAACATTTTCACTAGTGCTTGTTTGCTTAATTATTTGAATTGCTCTAATCTATAATCAGTTAGTTAAAATTGTGTTAGTGTTTATGAAGATTTAATTGGATTCTTTTATTTTTTATACCTCTCAATGTTTTGTATAAGATTTAATTGATTCTTACATTGAAATTAATACACCTGATTTTAAGCTGTATTATTTCATTTTACATTGAAATCTACCTGATTTTTACTATTTGTAATGTAGCCATGTAGGGGCTAGTACCCACTGTGGAGGCATTATTGCATTTTGCAAAACACAGGTTCTGTGCAAGGCATGTTTTTGCAAACTGGAGGAAAGAGCACAAAGGGAGGAGGCTTCAATCATTGTTTTGGAAGTGCGCAAAGTCGATGACAGTCCACCAATTACATCAAGCACTGAAGGAATTGGAAGAAGAAGATGCACAAACTAAGACTGATCTCCTTAAGGTTGATCCATGTAATTGGTCCAAGCATATTTCGACACTTATTCAAAGTGTGATATGGTGGACAATAATATGTGTGAGGCATTCAACCATTCCATAATAGAGGCAAGGTATATGTCTGTCATTAGTATGTTCAAGGATATCAGGATTAGAGTCATGAACAGAATAACTGAAAAAAGAGAGAGGGTTAATAGGTGGGTGGTGAGTTTCCTGATAGAATCATGAAAATGTTGGATGAATATAAGAAAGAGAGTGCTTATTGCCATTTGGTTGCACAAGGAAAAAATGGGTTTGATGTCAGACACAATGGTCATAAATATGTGGTTAATTTATTAACACAGGAATGTGCATGTAGGTTATGGCAACTGAGTGGCATTCCTTGCCCTCATGTCATGTGTGTGTTGTACATTAGAGAGGAGAGAATTGAGGATTATGTGTCAGAGTGGTACACAAAAGGGAGATACTTCAAGCTATATGACAATGTAATAGTGCCTTTAAATGGTGATTTACATTGGCCAATGATAGGCAAACAACCTATCTTACCTCCCGAGTCCAAGAAACTACCTGGTAGACTAAAAAAGAATAGAAGGAAAGAGCTGGATGAGAGAACAACAACAACAAAAAGGTCAAGGAATGGTAGAATTATGACATGCAGTGTCTGTAAGGTTACTGGACACAATGCAAGAACATGTACAAAGGTTAGTTTTCATATTTTAAGCTGTATATTGTAAACTCTAAATGTGAGGTTAAAATAGTCTGACATTTCCATTATTTTCTCAGAAAAATCCATCTTAGTCTGAAGCATCTAGAGTTGATAATGCTAATGCTCAAAGGGACAGTAGTGCAAGACAAAAATCCAAACAACAACATAAGGGATTAGGAAAGAGAAGGCATAAGAAAACTCCAATGGAGGGATATGGTGTGTACATCGATACAGATACTGACATGACTACCTATAATGTAAGTATTTTTAGACTTACACACTTATACAAATCTAAATCTTCATGTCAACTATTACAATACAATGATTTTGATGAAACCCCTTTTTTTTTGGCACTTATTTAGCCTGGAACAACACACAGTTACATGATTAGATGGATGATGATAGATGAACATTTAGTTGGGTCAAGTCAGACAACAATCAATAACACTACCCACGGGAATGACCATGTTTCACAAAGTTCAAGGATGCAATGAAGAAGATGTATGACATCCAGACCAAGAAAGTGAACATCTTAATTAGGGAAATTCTATGGGCTGTATGTTCTAATTATTGAGGAAGTTTTGGAGGATACACCAGAAAGTTAGCACATTAACACTAAAAAAAAATAAGAATAACTACCTGTTGAAGAGATGAAATGATAAAATAAGCCACATTCGACACAAGTACTATTGAACAGGTTGAGATCTAATGGGATTGATAAATGTATAAGCCTCCTATCTTCATTTTTGCCATATCCTCTGCATATTGTTTATAACTTTCTACTTCATCTTAAATTGGGCTCTAGAACAGCTATATATTTCAATTGAATTGAAAACTAGTTGTATTCTTTGTGCTGCAGGCCTGATGGAATTATGGTGCCTTGGATGTGGCAGACAAGATTGGAATTATCTAACAAATATGTACGGTTGACAGTTTCGTTAGGACTCCAATATCATTTTGGTTATCTTTAAATGTGTTGAGATCTATCTTTTTTATTCAATTTTGCATGAGGTGCCTCATTAAGATTTAAATGATTAAGATTTTTGTAGCAGTGTTCCAATTTCACATATTTTGGAACTTCAGTTACAAAGGTTGTTTCGGATGATGTGATTGTTTAAATTATTGAGCATTGATTAATTGCTAGATTGCCGCCATGGCCAATTTGATTAATTTCACATAACTTCTTTCTGGATCATTAGTAGATTGCTACAGCCGGTTTGATTAATTTCTGGATCATTTAGGTGCAAAGTTTTTTATCAGCAAATATAAGGTAATTAATAAGCAAATTGCAACTGAGTGGGCAATAATACAAATTTATATAAACATTTGGAACGTGGTTTTTTATATTAAAATACAGGAAGAGGAAAAAAAGTTAAAAAATTGGTTTTAAAGGATAAAAAATTTAAAAATTGATGATTGTTTGTTTAAGCAAATTAGGTGGGTTTTAATTAGGGTAAGTTTTCATTCTAGGTATCTTTTATTTATTCTGAGTGGTTTTTATTGAAATAATAAAAAAAAAGTTAATTTGAGATTTTTTAGATTATAAATGTCTAAGTCAGTTTGAATTGCCGTGTCAAAATGTTCAGGCAATACACCAAAATTGTCATGTTCGCGATTTTTTACGGAAAAAATGTCATGTCATCGATATTTAATACCGTAAGAAAAAATATGAAAGTTTGGTACCTTTAATAGGAAAAACATAAAGTTCGGTACCTTCAATACAAATAATTGATAGTTTGGTACCTTCAACTGTTCAACAAGAAAAAAATAGTTCAGTACCTTCAATAGGAAAAAAGTGATAATTTTGTACCTTATGATGTAATTAAGCCTTTTCAATTTGATCTCAAAAGAAGGGTTTTTGGAAGCATCACATATAAATAACACAATGTTACAGTCTAGGTTTTTCTAAAGTTCAATAAGTTAACATACAATAGTATTGACCTTTAATCTCAAGGAGTTAGCTTGGTGGTCAAGGAGATTTGCTTTTTTCTTAGATTCAAATTTTGGAGCCATCTACCACAATAATATTATGATTTAAGGCTCCGTTTGGTTCCCATATTGGAAAACTAGATTTCCCAAAAAAGTTAACTTTATTTCACCTATTTTCAAAATAGTTTTTTAAATTATTCAATTCTCTTTAATCCCTCTAAATTTGTTAATTTAACTAAACAACCCCCAATTTTTTTTTTTAAAATTGACAAAAACACCCCAGTAACCCAAATTTACCAGATTCCGGCTACCACTGCCGGAAGTTGGCTGGAATCTGGTGTAATGACGCACTATTGGCTGAATCTGGCCGGTAGTAAGCCGATCTAACATTTTCCTGCCAGATCCATGTTGGATTTGGTCGAAAAAGGCCAGATCTTTGGCCGTAGACAATCGTCAACGATGGCCAAGATATGATCGTCGTTGACTATCAACGACGGTCATATATTTGGTCGTCGTTGACGACCAAATGCGGCCAGATCTGGCCTTCAATGGCCAGATCTAACCGCAGGTCTGGCCTTTTCCGGTTAAATCTCCCGTGGATCTGGCCAGAAAAGGCCATATCAGTCCACGACCGACAAGATCGAGCCGGTCATGCGTCGATAAGGCAACTCCGGCCACCCTCCGGCGGTGGTGGCTGACTGTCAGTATTTATGAGTGGATTGGAGGTGTTTTTGTTAACTTTGAATATTTTATTATAGGGGTGTTTAGTAAATAAATAAACATAGGGGTATTTATGTTAATTTTTAAAATTTTACATCGTAATACCCACCCAATTTAACTTTTTTTCAAAAGATTATTCTAAAAACTACTCAATATTGAACCAAACAGAGTCTAATTGATCATCATGATTAATTAAGGTGAGCACAAATTGACCCAAATACCGTAAAAAAAAAAAAAAAAATTAATAACACCTCCAACATTGCTATATAACGGAAATGAATTAAGAACGGAACTCGCTCTAAGAAAAGAAAATATAGGGTTGTTCATGAAATTGTGAAAAATACATAGGAAGGGGGAGAAATTTTTCAAAATTAGAGGGAAAACCAATCCAGGCTTCAATCGATTCGAAGTTCGGAGCTTATGGCGTTGGAAGAAGAAGAAGAGCAGGTAGGAGACGAGCGTGATGCTCCGGCACACCATCCATCCCCACCGCCCGATGAGGTAACCGGCTACGGCTCTGATTTAGGTCTTGTGAACTAGTTCCTTGCTTTAACATATTATCGCTGCAATAGAAAGTTGTGGACAACCCTTGGACCTTTTTTTTTTTTTTTTTTTTTTTTTTTTTTAATTTTTTTTATTGTAACTGAAGATTGAATTAGCTCTCTATAGTTCAAAATTAGTTGTTATGATACCTATTGAAGCAAATTAAACCTGTATGCTTGGACATTTTAGAAGTTAATGATGGTGGTACTGAAAAAGATACGTTAACTTGTCTCCACGGGAACATATTAGGGAAGAGTGTTTGATAGACAAGAATCTGACTGGTTCTGATTGATTTTGATTTTAGCGTGATACCAAACAATTATTTTCATGTTTTATAATGCAGTTATTTGACATTTCGACAACGGTTGATCCAAGTTACATAATTTCGTTGATACGTAAACTTCTTCCTACTAATGTGGGAAATGGCCATGCTGATGGTTGTGATGTCCCAAGTAAAAGATTGAATGCCGATCCTATGGAAGAAAGTACAGACTCATTGTCTGGAGATGGAGTTCTAAGTTCACCGAAGCATTATTTCAAGGCCATGGATGTTGTTGATGGTGCTGATAGATCTTCTTATTTTGAAGGGGAGGCTGAAGATCCATGCAGTAAACTTGAAAAGGCTGGTTTATCAGCTGGAGAAGAAGCTTGGGAAGAACATGGTTGTGTTTTGTGGGATCTGACTGCTAGTGTAACTCATGCAGAACTCATGGTACTCAAGTTTGACTTGTTATAGCTTCTTCTATATTTTCTCTTTTTCTTGTTAAAATTTATGTTCCGAATACTTCATTTGGATCTCAATTGCTTTATAAAACAATTACATGTCCAGATTATGAAAAAGTAGTAGAGACAAGCTGAATGGAAAAAGTGAATCAAACTCTGAGGAACCAATAGTTGGTTGTACAATCTAGCAACTGTTTCCTTGAACAATTCTGAAACCTTGATTCATGCTTGTGATTATCTTTATTTTTTCTGATGTCCATTACTTCATCATATTAGTATGATCTCTCCTTCCCATTTAACTCTTCCCTGATACATCTGAAAGCTATAAATGATTGTGTGAATTACACTGGGAAGAATAACCTGTGGGTCAGATGAAGGTAGCTTACAATTTGTGGTTGTAACTGATTCTAGTTAAAAGATGTAACTATGCACTTATAGTAACCACAACTTGCATTTGTGATTTTTTGTATTTGACTATGTAGGTGCAAAACCTAGTCCTTGAGGTGCTTTTAGCAAACCTAATGGTTTCCCAATCTGTGCGTGTCACGGTATGCCACTTTTCCACTTATGTTTGATTTCTGGTGCATGATAAAAGATAGTTGATTCTTTTAAATTTCAAGTTCTTTTTTATGTAGGTTGGTGGGTAGTTTTTAACTTTGCTAAACATGGCTATGTTTTCTGTTTTTCTTTTTGACCCAGGAGATTATCCTTGGAATCATTGGAAACCTTGCATGCCATGAAGTTCTCGTGAAGCATATAGTCTCTACAAATGGACTGATTCAAATAATTGTAGATCAGTTGTTTTTAGATGATACTAAATGCCTAAATGAAGCTTGCAGGTAATACATAAGTTGTCAACTCTTTCTTTTTACTTAAAATATTTTGATCTGACAATTTTTCGGTGTTGCCTCTGTTATCTTAATATTTTTAATACGTATATATTTATGCCAAAAAATATTTATCATCATATTGGAGGTATAACCATTCTCTCTTCGTTCTATGGAGTTGTAACTGGTGTACTTTAGGGCCATTACACCTCTCTCTGGTCATTTCATAGCATTGGTTTTTGNTAATTTTTTTTATTGTAACTGAAGATTGAATTAGCTCTCTATAGTTCAAAATTAGTTGTTATGATACCTATTGAAGCAAATTAAACCTGTATGCTTGGACATTTTAGAAGTTAATGATGGTGGTACTGAAAAAGATACGTTAACTTGTCTCCACGGGAACATATTAGGGAAGAGTGTTTGATAGACAAGAATCTGACTGGTTCTGATTGATTTTGATTTTAGCGTGATACCAAACAATTATTTTCACGTTTTATAATGCAGTTATTTGACATTTCGACAACGGTTGATCCAAGTTACATAATTTCGTTGATACGTAAACTTCTTCCTACTAATGTGGGAAATGGCCATGCTGATGGTTGTGATGTCCCAAGTAAAAGATTGAATGCCGATCCTATGGAAGAAAGTACAGACTCATTGCCTGGAGATGGAGTTCTAAGTTCACCGAAGCATTATTTCAAGGCCATGGATGTTGTTGATGGTGCTGATAGATCTTCTTATTTTGAAGGGGAGGCTGAAGATCCATGCAGTAAACTTGAAAAGGCTGGTTTATCAGCTGGAGAAGAAGCTTGGGAAGAACATGGTTGTGTTTTGTGGGATCTGACTGCTAGTGTAACTCATGCAGAACTCATGGTACTCAAGTTTGACTTGTTATAGCTTCTTCTATATTTTCTCTTTTTCTTGTTAAAATTTATGTTCCGAATACTTCATTTGGATCTCAATTGCTTTATAAAACAATTACATGTCCAGATTATGAAAAAGTAGTAGAGACAAGCTGAATGGAAAAAGTGAATCAAACTCTGAGGAACCAATAGTTGGTTGTACAATCTAGCAACTGTTTCCTTGAACAATTCTGAAACCTTGATTCATGCTTGTGATTATCTTTATTTTTTCTGATGTCCATTACTTCATCATATTAGTATGATCTCTCCTTCCCATTTAACTCTTCCCTGATACATCTGAAAGCTATAAATGATTGTGTGAATTACACTGGGAAGAATAACCTGTGGGTCAGATGAAGGTAGCTTACAATTTGTGGTTGTAACTGATTCTAGTTAAAAGATGTAACTATGCACTTATAGTAACCACAACTTGCATTTGTGATTTTTTGTATTTGACTATGTAGGTGCAAAACCTAGTCCTTGAGGTGCTTTTAGCAAACCTAATGGTTTCCCAATCTGTGCGTGTCACGGTATGCCACTTTTCCACTTATGTTTGATTTCTGGTGCATGATAAAAGATAGTTGATTCTTTTAAATTTCAAGTTCTTTTTTATGTAGGTTGGTGGGTAGTTTTTAACTTGGCTAAACATGGCTATGTTTTCTGTTTTTCTTTTTGACCCAGGAGATTATCCTTGGAATCATTGGAAACCTTGCATGCCATGAAGTTCTCATGAAGCATATCGTCTCTACAAATGGACTGATTCAAATAATTGTAGATCAGTTGTTTTTAGATGATACTAAATGCCTAAATGAAGCTTGCAGGTAATACATAAGTTGTCAACTCTTTCTTTTTACTTAAAATCTTTTGATCTGACAATTTTTCGGTGTTGCCTCTGTTATCTTAATATTTTTAATACGCATATATTTATGCCAAAAAATATTTATCATCATATTGGAGCTATAACCATTCTCTCTTCTTTCTATGGAGTTGTAACTGGTGTACTTTAGGGCCATTACACCTCTCTCTGGTCATTTCATAGCATTGGTTTTTGGTGCTTTATTTCTCCCGTCCCCTTTTTTCTTCCCTCTTTGGGCTTGAGATTTCTTCTCAAAACGTACTTTCATTCCATGTTTTATAGGATTGAAAATTTACTTCTTTTATATTGCTATTTTATTTTCATGTTTTCCCCAGAGGAAGAGGAAATCTGACTGATTTCTTATTTTTTATTCTTCTTTTTTAATTTTAGAATGGTTGTCTCCATACCATGATCCTTGGTCATAACATTTTGGTGTCACAATCATGTTGCAGAGGTTGCTCTAGCATGTATTATATTCTAATTGTCCAATGTTGTTCATTTCTCTGATGGTGCTATTTTGTTGCAGGCTTCTAACTTCATGTCTTAAAAGTAGTGAACCTATTGTTTGGGCTGAGGCGTTGCAGTCTGAACATATTTTACAACGTATTTTATGGATTACAGAAAATACGTTAAATCCACATCTTATGGAAAAGGTAAAAAAAGAAAGAAAAAAAAAAGGCGTTAATACTGTAATTTTTTTGTTTTGTATTAATATGGTAGGCATTAAACATAATACATATATAAAGTAGCTTATTTTCTTGAACAGAGTGTTGGGCTGTTATTAGCCATCTTGGAAGGTCGACAAGAAGTAGCTCTTCTTCTTCACCCATCTTTGATGAAGCTGGATTTATCAAGTCTTTTGATTAATCTCTTGACCTTTGAAATGAACAAATTAGCAAGTGAAAGAATACCTGAAAGGTAGGAGCTCTGGTTATTTGTAGTAAACTTAATGTGTTTGACAGATTGGTCTTCTGTCATCTTTGAAGATGATATAATATATTTCTATAACTTTGCATTTTACTTTTACAAAATGGTTCTGTTGTCTATGAGGATGGTAAAAAAAGGGGGATAATGTAGCTTTGGGAGATATAATTCATTTTTGGTTATCGTGGGCTTCCACTTCTAAGGAGGTCTGGGATTCTTCTCTCCTTTTGTCATTCAAACAGATTATGAAACTGTGTTTTCTAACAACACATGTTTTTTGTATGTGTTTGGGGTATATTTGTACTTTCTTGTTTCTTTTGGAGTATATATATATATATATATGATTGAGTCTCTGAATGAGAATATGGTCAATATTTAGATGGCTTCAGTCCTTCGATCTCGGCAAACAAGTGCCTTTCCCCCTCAGTTTATACAATGGAGAACAGAAAAACAACCATACCATTTTCACAGTGGAAAACTTAAGGGCCTATTTGATTTGTGATCTAAAAATAATTTTGAAAAACTAAACTAAGATTCAAGTTTTTTAGTTGTATTTAATATTTTTAATATTTGAAAATGTTTCTGATATAAAATTTAAAAACTGTTTTCAGATTCAAAGTGGTAGAAAACTGTGAAAACGACTTTTAATCGTTTTCTAATTTGTACTAGTTTTTAGAATTGTATTCGAAAACTGTTTTTTAAAATAATTCTACTTACTTTTACCAAACGCATTTTCATAAGATTTTATGTATCCCTTGTTTTCAAAAACAAAAAAACTTTTAAGTTCTATGTCAAATGGGCCCTAATTGTTTTGTATGAATTTTAAGATTGTCGTACTTTGATTAGCAGTTGACAGTCATACGTAGTTTTTGTTTAGCCTTCAACCCACGTGTATCTTGATGAAGTAGTTATTTTGTGTTCTAAAAGATAAAAATTACTTGTAAGGTTTTACATAAGATACTCTATTTTCATGCAATTTCAGGTACTCTGTTCTTGATGTTATTCTTCGTGCTGTTGAAGCTTTTTCTGTTTTAGATGGTCACTCTCAAGAAATTTGCTCAAATAAGCAACTACTTCAACTACTTTGTAACCTGGTTAAATTCCCTGAAAAAGTTGAGGTACATTGAACCTTGCCGAGAAATGCAAATACTTATGAGTGATACATAATCCAATTTTTGAGTTGTTTCAGTCCTCTGTTTCTAGCTGATAATAGCTGATAATTGCTGTTTTACACTATGAGTTTTCTTAAACAATAAATGGGTAATTGTTTTGGAGTGCTTTTTGACAAGTTAGGATGGTAATCAACTGACTTTGAGCATTTATGGCTATATTTTCTGTAGGTTGCCAATTCTTGTGTTACCGCTGGAGTTATAATTGCAAATATTTTTTCTGATGTACCCGATCTGGCTACAGAGATATCATCGGGTAAGTTGTTTATGTCTCTGATTTGCCAAAGTGCTTTATTGAATTTATCTTGCACATTCCTAGAAGTGAGACTTTGCACCTGTCCAGATTTGCCTTTCTTATTGGGTCTGCTTGATATCTTTCCCTTTGCTTCGGATGATTTGGAAGCACGAAATGCATTCTGGAGTGTTATCGCAAGGTTATTGGCAGAAGTTCAGGAAGATAAGATGAGCTCATCAATTCTGCATCAATATGTATCAATTATCATGAGCAAATCAGATGTAATTGAAGATGATCTTCTTGATCACCAATTAGGTGATTCTAGTCTAGAAGACAAAAGCATCACCCCTTGCGGCACAAATTCAGAAGCTAGAATAACTGCTGTATCCTATCTTAGTTTAACTTATCAGTATCAAGTGAAAATTTGACATACTCGAGCAACAGTTAGCATAAATGTTTGTATATTAAGTTTTTTTTTGGTGCAGTATTTTTGTTTCCCTTTACCTCTTCAACAGCTGAGAAGTATAATTAATATCTTAAACAAGTGGACTGTTTCAAAGGATGAAGTGGACAAGAATGATTTGGTGGATTATCATACGGACGACGAAAATGTGGTTAGATTGTTGGATCGTTGTCACAAATATATTGAGTAAGCTCCATTTTAAATTGTCATACAGTTACTCATAGTTCTTCAATTATTCAACACCATTTGATTTGGCTAGACATGATTATCTTCCTTGTACTCTTTATATGGCAGAATAACTTTTGTGGCTTGTGGGTTCTTGTATATAGGCCAGCAGTGGCAATACTGTATTTGACTGAGTTGATTGTCACATATGTCCATAATATTGATGTTTGGTCATTTTATTGTTTTTCATACATTTTCTAGTTATCAAACATGGACCCCATGTAGTTGGTGTAATAAATAATGATAACCTCCCCTCCTGGCCTTCCCTTCCCAGAATCAATGTTGGCTCGTTGTGTGTGCTTTCATTTTGTTTTATGTAATTTTTCCTCCTAGCAAAACATACAGCAATAAGATGACGGTTGTTTAGTGCTAGCTGCTGGTCAATAAATGTTAATTTATGGTTTGGAGCTTTTAATAAGACACTTAAGAAGCTGGAATTGACAACAGAGCTTTATACATTGGAGATGGTCTATATTTGGTTCATAAAGATTTATTTCCACAGTTGATGGCAGTGTAGATCGAAGATTGATGACGGGACCTAAACAAAGCAAAATGTGATTGTAAGCTCTGAAGGGCATCCCAGTTCAGCAGTTGCATTGTTTGCTCCGTTGCTTATGGCGTTTCTCAGTATGGCATATCAAATAGCTGTAATTGGACATACTAAAATGTTGTTGAAAGATGTTTCAAATTTCTTGTTCCCGAATTCTTGGATTTATTAATTTGAGATTAGCACTTACATGCTTACATATTTATTCATTTCTCGTAACTGTGATGATCCTTTTTTTTTTTTTTTAATTGCAGATTCAATGCTAGATCATGTTCCAAAAGTTAAATCATGGCCAAGAAAGCTCAAATAGAGAACAGTACCATCAGAAATGTAATATTCTCTGGATTCTTGGAGAAGAAGGAATATTTGCTGAGAGGCGAATAGTACGGAAATATCTGTCATTTGCTCCACAATAATTGTTGGCAATGTGCCCTACTTCCAAATCTGCTGGTATGCAAGCTTGAATAAAGGCATTTTTATGATCTTTGGAGAAACTGGATGCATCTGTTGATATATATATTCCGGTTCAGTGCATTACCTTGTTTGTGTATTGCCCAGGAAAGATATACTCTGCATATCAATTCCTCTGTGGGTAATGATTTATGATTATTTGAAGTCAAGCAGGTATCCCATTGCCTGTCGGGGCCATTTTTTACAACAATCAAGTGGCGGATGATGATCCCTTTTATGTGCTGATACTTCAGAAGCTACGGAAAGAAATTATACAATTATTATTGTACTATATATATTCCTAGAAGATAGGATGAGGAATTTTATTTTCAATTTATTGCCGTTCTATATCTCCTGTGATGGCATGAATCAACTTTGCTGAACTGGTAATCTAGTTTTGACAGAAAAATGTAGAAGGCGGAACTAGAATTAATTAGGGGCTGAGAATATTTTTTGTATGATATTTTGATTTTCAGTCAATCTCTGCTTTGTGCTGATTACAATTGGTCAATCCATGAATAAATTTAAAATTATTTTCCCTACTTGATTTATGTATTTCTTTATTTAATAAACAAAAGATGCGCTTAGATGAGATGTATTTTTATCAATATTATTTTCCTTTGAAAAAGTATTTAAGGTGATTTATCATTTATGTGGGGTGCCCTTCTTTGGTTGCTATAGGAGTAGCTAATAGAATTCTTACCTGATCAATAGTTTTAGAATATTAAGAGATTAGTTGAGATGTGTATAAACTAAATCACACTCTCGATTATAAAAAAAAACGGTTTTCAATGATGTCGTAAAAGCATTTAAAAATTCATCTAACACCATTAGTAGATCAAAATTTGAAATGTGAAAATATTGAAAGAAGAATTTACAAAAGGAGTAGAAAAGGAAACAGTTGTGGCCTTTGGGTAAAACAGATGCAGTTACAAACAACACTCACTGTTTACTAAACAGACTAAATTAACGGCGGGGTACCTACTAATACTAACTTTTACTAAGGTATCTTCTTGTATATTTTTCACACTATGGGAAGTTTGTTGTATTATAAATAATTAAATATTAGGGGCGATTGTATTTTTAAAAAATTGGAGGATTATCTTGTAATTAGCCCCTCACCAAAGCTTCTGAAAGAGAGGAAAGTGGTACCGACAAAACCAGTGTTCCATTGGCGGACAGACAAAGCTGCACGACGCCTGTTTTCTTCAGTCGACCGCATATGTCGTCAACGCTGCTACTTTGTAATCCATCTTCCATTTTCCCTCTTTTCATTTTACGTTCTGGGTGTTTCGCATTTGAGTGATTTGTTTATACTCAATTATGCCCCCTAATTACTATCATCTCCACCCTTCTCGTCGCTTAGACTGAGAAAAGTCTCGTTGGATTTGTAGAAATAATTTATATGAATCCTTTGTAAACTTCCCGTGTTGATATGTGATTTGAACTGTATTTGGTATCAATTCGTTGCGTGCTCTACATCTTGCACGGTATGTGTTTGTTAAATATGCTCAATGAATAATGTTTTGGCTTAAATTAATAGCTTTTGTTATTTTTCAATAAATATATTATATATCTTTGTTAGTTCTCAATAAATCATATCTTATCAGTTATGACATAATTATGAATTATTATTGTACTTTTGGGATAATTTATTGTTAGTTATATATTACTATTAAGTCTAATATTTTCGTCTTTATAGCATAGCTTCTTTGTCGAATTATAGATTTTAGTAACCTCAGCTTATTAGAGGTATCATCATTAGTTTTTCGAATTCATGACTTCGCGGATTCTAAATTAATGAAAATAATCTTACACTTTTTTTCGTGTTTTAAGTTGTAAAATAGTGACTTTTCATTAGATTTATATGAAAGTGGGGTTTTTTTTATTTATTTATTTTTTTTTTCAAATATTCAAATGTTTTGCAGTGCAAGAACTTTGACAAGTTGCGATGTTGTAATTTGACAGATGCCAATTATTTGTTGTTGGCATTGAAATCTATGAGCTGTCAGTTGAATCAAATGTTTTTAAAATCAACTACAGAGAATATCATTTTAGTAACACATTTAAATGCGGGAACTAGTGTTTGAGGTAATTCTTCTTTCAGTGAGTTTGGTTACTGAGAAATTAAAGGAAAGAAAATTATATCTATCAATCAGCAGACTTAATCAAGATGTAGTGTCTTTAGTTGTTGTTTTCTCTTTTCTCTTTTGCAGTTTTCTTTTGATTGCAAATTGAATGATTGATTTGTGCATTCTATTGTGGTTTTAGGAGAGCTAAAGCTTGAAGCAAGTAAAAAGAAGTGCTAAACAGCTTCCGAACCTGAACTGAGTTTGATGGTTGAAATTTAATTTGAACTGTTAGCTTTGTAGTTTTGTAATGAGTTCTTCATTACTTCCTAAACATGTAGCTGCAGTTGTAAAGCACCAAAAGGACCCTTTAAAGGCGCTTGAAATGTTCAATTCAGTTAAAAAAGAAGATGGGTTTAAGCACACATTGTCAACTTATAAATGCATGATTGATAAGCTTGGTTTTCATGGTAATTTTGAGGAAATGGAAAATGTACTTTTAGAGATGAGAACAAAGATTGATAATACTTTGCTAGAGGGAGTGTATATTGGAGTCATGAGGAATTATGGTCGTAAAGGCAAGGTTCAAGATGCTGTTGATGTGTTTGAGAGGATGGATTTTTATAATTGTGAGGCAACGGTTTTATCTTATAATGCAATTATGAATATATTGGTTGAATATGGATATTTTAATCAAGTGCATAAAGTATACATGAGAATGAGGGATAAAGAAATTGCTCCTGATGTGTACACATTCACAATTCGGATAAAGTCTTTTTGCAGAGCAAGGAGGCCACATGCTGGTTTGAGGCTTCTCAAGAACATGCCTTCTCATGGCTGTGAAATCAATGCAGTTGCATATTGTACAGTTATAGGTGGGTTTTATGAGGAGAACTATCATGTTGAGGCATATGAATTGTTTGATGAGATGCTTAGGTTAGGATTTTTTCCTGATATCACTACATTTAATAAACTTATACATACTCTTTGCAAGAAGGGAGATGTGCGAGAAAGTGAAAAGTTGCTTGATAAGGTTCTGAAGAGGGGAGTGTCTCCTAATTTGTTCACATACAATATTTTTATCTGGGGTCTTTGTAAAAGAGGTGCTTTCAGTGAGGCCATCAGTTTGTTGGATATTTTGGCAAGGGAAGATTTAACCCCTGATGTTGTCACTTATAACACATTAATCTGTGGATTATGTAAGAACTCTAAGGTTGTGGAAGCTGAGTACTATCTGTGTAAAATGGTGAATGAAGGGTTGGAGCCTGATGGATATACTTACAACGTTATTATTGATGGATATTGCAAGTTGGGTATGATTCAAAATGCTGACAAGATTCTCAAGGACGCAATCTTCAAAGGATTTGTGCCTGATGAGTTCACATATTGTTCCCTGGTTAATGGTTTATGTCAAGATGGTGACATAGAGCGTGCTATGGCTTCATTTAAAAAAGCTGTGGGAGAAGGATTAAAGCCTAATATTGTTCTATATAACACTATAGTCAAAGGGTTGTCTCAGCATGGGCTTATTTTAGAGGCATTGCAGGTGATGAATGAGATGTCAGAAAATGGTTGTAGCCCGAATATATGGACTTACAATATTGTAATAAACGGTTTATGCAAGATGGGATGTGTCTCTGATGCCAATAATCTTGTGAATGATGCAATTACCAAAGGCTACATTCCTGACATCTTTACCTTTAACACGTTGATTGATGGTTACTGTAAGCAGCTGAAATTGGAGAATGCAATTGAGATTTTGAATATAATGTGGGGCCATGGTGTTACTCCTGATGTGATCACTTATAATTCTTTGTTGAATGGCCTCTGTAAGGCTGCAAAATCTGATGCTGTGATGGAGACTTTTAAAACAATGGTGGAGAAGGGTTGTGCTCCTAACATAATAACATACAATATACTTATAGAGAGCCTCTGCAAAGCTCGTAAAGTTACTGAAGCTTTGGACTTACTCAAGGAAATAGAAAATAAGGGTTTGACTCCAGATCTCGTTAGTTTTGGCACATTGGTAAATGGGTTATGCAATAATGGGAACTTGGATGGTGCCTACCAGCTATTTAGAAGAATGGAACAACAATACAAGATTTCTCATACAACAGCAACCTACAATATTATGATCAATGCTTTTTCTGAAAAGCTAAACATTAATATGGCAGAAAAGCTTTTTAATGAGATGAGTGACAGAGGCTGTTGTCCAGACAATTACACTTATCGTGTCATGATCGATGGCTTTTGCAAAACAGGAAGCATTAATTCTGGTTACAGTTTTCTCCTGGAAAATATTGAGAAAGGTTTCATTCCTTCACTATCAACAATTGGTCGGGTCATAAATTGTCTTTGTGTGGATCATAGAGTTCATGAGGCAGTTGCTATCATCCACCTTATGGTGAGGAAAGGTATTGTTCCTGAGGCTGTGAACACAATTTTTGAGGCTGATAAGAAGGAAGTAGCAGCTCCCAAGATTGTTGTGGAAGAATTGTTGAAAAAGTGTAATATAACCTATTATGCCTACGAACTTCTATTTGATGGCATCAGAGATAAAAAGCTAGGAAAAAAGAAAGCTTCCTAGTAGAAATTTGAAGGTATGAGAAAGAGGTCATATTATGTTGATAAATCTTTTTATTGAGTGGAAGGAGAAAATAGACATGACCGGTGGACTGATTTCAATGACGCATGAAGCTTCTACATCAGAGCTGTTGGATAGCTGGGCCTGACGGCATTTGAAAGGAAGTTACAGCAGAATTCATGGTAGTTTCTGTAAACCTCAGTTCTCACCTTTAGTTTGGTTTATATTTTTCTCAGCTGCAGTCATTTATTCATTCTTTCGTGTTTCAGGGTTGATATAGACTCAATTAAGCAGTAAGTGCTCGATTGTTTTTCATCTATAACTTTTGTGAATTTTCTGTTCTTTATTTATCAATGCACTGATAATTAAATCAGGCATTAACTATTGAAACCAATATCAAGTAACTCGATTAGTGAAGAAATTATTAGAAAGAAAGAATTAGTACTTTGTTCGGACATATTTTATGTTCCTGTGGATCAACTCATATTGTTTAATTGGTTGCCTCATTTTCGTTTTTTTCAGGTTGGAGGATTTGAATTTTGTCAGATGATGCCTCGGATTGACAGTAATTTTGAGATGTCTTGAGAATAGGCTTAGAGCTTTCTATATCCAGTATCCATGGGAATTCCTCTCGGGAAGCCACCAAAAGCGGAATCTCTATGTTAGCACAGTCATGCGGTGTTCTGATATAAGTTTTTAGATATTACTGGAGAAGGTTAGCTGCTTGGCCATGGGCATTCTATTTTTATTGATAACTTTGTCAAAGTATCTTTCAGCATTTGTTGCAACATACTGTCTGGATTGCAGAACAAAGGGGACGCAAAGAAAATATACAATTGTAATTGTACTATTTAATATCCCAGAATATAGGAATCGGAATGTCCATTAATTCAAAACTATCAAGAATGTGATGAGTTTGTGTACAACAATATACGAGTGAATGAAGAAGTCAAATAAAGTCTTCAATAAGGGGCTGGTAGAACAGCTTGTATGCCTCCATTACTTCAAGATACCACATTGCTTCTCGATCTGGGAATGCTGAAAGATCTACAATCTTGTGAACCTGCATCTCGTTTCATCAACATCATCTCTAACTTTTAATCTCTTTCATTTTAACCCAAATGTAATAAGAAATTTACCTTAATCATTGGGGTCTTACCCGTGCGTACAACATACCCTCCCACCACCATCACATACATCCCTGTAAAGTGTAAACAAAACATATAGACGAGTTCTGTTTGTTTATTTTAAAATTCAAGGAGTTCTCTGTAATTAGCCTATGCCTCAGGGAGCTTAATAAAGTATTATCTTTAAGGAAATGAAAGTAGTAAAACCTAACCTGTGTTCCATTGTTGTTGGCGGAAGTCGGCGGAGAGGCAAAGCTGGACGACGCCAGTACCATCATCGAGAAGCAAGTTGCCGTCATCGTCTAGAGGCGAAACTATGACGCCCTGTAGCCACGCTCGTTGAAAGAGAATGCCGCCCAACGTGACGGCGTTTTGAGATGGAGTCTCTCGAGCGTCCTTCAGTTGGCCGCATAGTACCTTCAAAGCTGCTAGACTGTAGTCCATCTTTGAGTTAGAATTAATCTCCCTCTCTCGCTCGTCTTTTTTGAACCGCTGTAGCTGAAACAGCCAACAAAACGGCGTTACTATCGGGCGTTTAGAGGATTTAACAAAAATAAATAAAAAATGAATTTCATTTATGACTCAGAATTGAGAGTTAAATTTACTTGTTTTTATTATTGGAAAATTGTATACTTTAAATTCAAGTTTGATAACCACCTGTCTTGGCTTAATGGTAAAAGAGTAAAGGAGAATTTAACATAATCTTCCAAGTTCGAGTCTGGTTAAAAGAGCAAAAAGAGGATTTATCATGATCTCCCGAGTTTAACTCTCCACAATTGTTAAAAGAAGTTGTTACTAGAACTTATAGCCGACTGATGTTTTAGGGTTCTGAGAGATTAGCTGAGATGGTCGTAAATTGACTCGGACATCCCAGTCATCATTTAAAAAAAAAAAATTCAAGTTTAATTAATCACAATTGGGATTTTAATTGATTTTACATATAGTAGAATATGAGTTTATTCATAGACAAAATTACAATCAGGAAGCTTCAGATAACAAGCCTTTCTTCATTCATAACTCAACCACACTGTTTAACATAGAAACATAGTAACAAGCACTGACAACGGATGGAGATTATTACAGATTAAAATGTAAATTGAAATGTGACTAAGAAATCAAAGAGAGGCCACTAGCCAGCAGACTATCTGATATAACTTTGTTTGCAGTTTCGGAAGGATGAAAGCCATCCCAAAACACATATTCAGTTGCATTTGCACATGTTCCCACTGATTTCTTGTTACATAAAATTGATGTTTCCAGCAACCCAGTTCCGCAACAAGCCTTCCTCGCCTCGGCAAACCCTGTAAAACAACCGGTTATAAACACTCAATTGAATCCTACAACTGAACACAACAAGCTCTTTAAGTGAATTTGTTTTATTTATATCGCATACCATTATCAGAAGGCTTGGTGACAAGATCATAGAGAGGCTGGTAGATGTCCAGGACTACCAGATTGAGTCCAGAAGTCTTATTTTGCAAGATTATAGAAGTGTCATTTAGCTTGTAGTTGAATGAAACTGCATCTTCATTTATCTCTTCGACGCACTCGTTTATATCAGAGCCGAAAATTGTTATGGTAGCCGGCAGGCATCCTAGTGGTGGCAATGTTGTCACTCCGATCCTCCTTGCTCCTAGCTCATACAGTTCCTGTCACAAAATTTTTATGTATGGTCTTAGCAATGCAATGGTGATGTCCATGCTATCTGCTTTTACATAAATTAAAGAGGAGGAAAATCCGAGTTTGAGAAGAAGAGACCTCAATGAAAGTTGCATAGGATTTGATAAGAATGTCCGAGAATTCATCTGGTGTGTAGACCTTGTAAAGAAGAGGATTGATGTAGTAGTTCTGAACGAAGTCACTGCTCCCGGAATTGACAAGGTAAACCGATCCATTTATGATTGATGAAGCATTGGATTGTCCTACAATCTCCACTAACTTTTCCTTATACTCCTTGAAGAACTCCAGCTGCTGACTCAACGGGATGGTATGCTGCAACACCAGAAACACCACACAATAAAACAAACTATGCAAACTGAGACAGATAGAAATTTTGGCTCTCATTGTTCTTACATATATCTTTGCCGTAGCTTCGTAGTAACCGGAAGCACCGGAAGCAAAATTGGCGCCGATCAAAAGGTTGTTTCCTCTGGCTTCATAACTAAGATAGGCTGGTGGATATGAAGTGAAGCCTAAATTCTCAGCTGTTTTCAAGAAAATTAGTCAAAAGCACAAACCCCATTAGGACATCATGAATGAAACGCATTGAACTTTAGCCATGCATAGCTTTTTCAGCTCTTTTTATTGTTAATGAATTCTCTCTTGCTGTCAAGTTTGCCTAAAAGAACAAAGATGAAATGATGAAGTACCTGTGAAGTCTGCAGCTAGTTTGCCATTGCAGAACCTGCCAGTTGCAGTGTGATTGAGATAGTCTCTTCCATAAGGAGGAAAGTTTGCTTTTACAATAGTTTTAATGTGGTTGTTGTTTCCTGCATCAACAACAGAATCCCCAAATATGAACATTGCAGGAACCAGAGGCTGTCCATTAACCACATAAACCGCCAGGAGAAGATACACAAATGAAACCACCAAACAACTTGAAAATCCCATTTTTTTTTTTTTTCAAACTTTGAAGATGGGATAGCGGGCTTGAACTTCGAAGTGCAATATCTTGTTGGTTGTTATACAGTATGAAGAAATCTGCTAGTTTTGAGCTTGTGTAGAATTATGTCTTGGCCTTGAATGGCTCCAATTTATAGATATCAAATAAGTCAACATCAACCAAATGAAAATTATATTATATGATTAGACTAACCCATTGAGGAATTCGTTGATATAAGACCAAACGTGATAAAACATTTCTTTGCACCAGAAAAGTCCAGCCTGGACAATTGAATTGTCCACTGAGATTACGTAAAGTTAGACACTTGAACAGGGAATTGATGATTCAATTTAAAAATAAAAATAAAGTGTAGGTTACACCTTAAAAACTCTACAGAAAACCAGATTTGAAATTGACCCTTTATTTGTATAGCTGAAAGCCTGAAACACAAACTTATTGTGCTAAGAATTCCATTTGTTTTCCATATTTCTACACACAGAAAATAGTAGTGGTTCCAACTAAACTCTAAGTAGCGTGTCTTGATGAGGTAATATTTTGAGCTGTTTAAACTTGTAAAGGCAACATGCTCAAAAGAGTCAAATTAATTATGGCACTTGAATTTAGACATCTTTAGTTGCTGACCCTTCCTTCTTTTATGTATTTGTGTGCCCTTGTTTACTATTGCTGCAGTTCTTCAATCACCATCAAATACTTTGTTTATTACAGAAATTTTATTATTTCATTAATGGGCACTTCATTTTAGTTGGAAATTTTGGAATTGGCCTTCATTTCATGTATTTAGAAATGCTTGAGCATGGACAAAGATGACAATTTGTTAGTTGGATGTTGCCCCTTTTTTAATTGCAAAATTGAGTGCCCTTAATTTCTTCTTTCATGGGCAAGGGATTAGATTACATAGATTTCTTGTTACCTTGGGCTTCAAACTAATCAGATTTGGAGGATCTAAGAATCCCTTTTGCTAATTGATGTCCCCTTCCTCCTAATCTAATTAAAAATATATTAACACTGCTCAAATGGGTACATATTTTCTTCAGTCTCAAATAGTCCTGATTGATAGAATCACGGGGCCAGGTCTATATCGAGTCGGTTTCAATATTTCATATAAGTTTCGATATTCATATTATTATTCACTGTATTAAAACTTTTTGAATGTAATATAAAAATATATATATATCTGAAACGTTCGGTAAAACAGGTGGAGAATCTAAACCGAAGGTCCATATTTGGCTGGGGTGGCAGTTCGTCTAAGGCCATGGACTACCAATTAGAGAGACTACATAATCAAAGCCCCATAAAATTGTTATTAAATAGAAAAGGTATAGCACAATTTCACCCTAAGGATGTGTTTGATTCAGGGAATGTTGTATTGTTGTATTCCTGAGAATGTTGTATTAATAAAAAAATAAGTTACTTTGAAGATTATTAGAAATGTTTAGGGAAATATGTTTGGTTAGATTGGAATAAATTGATGGGTATGTTATATTGAAATATTTGGTTGGGAGGATAAATGGGTGAATATGTTATATGGATTACTAAATTGCCCTCCTTTTAAATATTAATATAATATTATTTTTCTAATCGTTTCTTTTGACCCCCTACATTTGAGATTTTGCTAAAATACCCTAGCCACATAAAAGTTTAATTTCTAACAAAATCACCCCCACCCAACCCAAGTCATTGCTAGTCGTCGCCAGCAGTCATCAGAACGATGTACGACTGACTAGATCTGGCCAGCCGTGCACTGATATGGCCGTTTTCGACCAGATCAATGATCATTAACGACCAGATCTGCCACAAACTTGGCCGTTTCCAACTAGATCTATTGCCATCAATCTGGCCGGAAACTAACAGATCAATGCACGACAATCCGACTGGTCGTGCGTCGTTCTAGCAGATCAGCGCACAACCAATCAAATCTAGCCGGTCGTGCGCCGTTTCGACGAAGTCAGCCAACGGTTGCCACTAACGGTGGTGGTTGGCGAGTAGTAATGGTCTTGGGTGGCTTGTAATTTGTTTTAAATATAAGGGCATTACTGTCCAAAATTCAATTAACTAGGGGTAAAATTGTAATGGCAGGTTCATGTAAATTAATTTCAAAATAAGGATATTATTATCCAAAAATTTTAATAGATAGGGTGCATTTGGATCAAGGGCATATAAGATAACGAGGGTAATCTTCGTTTATTTTGCAAGATTCCGATGTTTGGTTTGCAAGTAATAAAATATTACGGGAATCTTTTATTGCAAATAGTGTTTACTGTTGGTAATGTTGGAGGTACTTCGATGATTAAAACATTACCGGGTAATCTTATTTTTTTTTACCCATTTGGCCCTTAATTAAATATCATTTCTGACACAATTACCCTCAAATGTCTACCAAATAACAAGTAGCCCAACCCCCCTACATTTGAGAAATTAGCTAAAACACCTTAGTCACAAAAAAATTTAAAAGTTAACAAAATACCCCCAGCCACCCAAGACCACCACTGGCCGTTACTCACCATCGCAAGCCACCAGCATCAATCACTATAATGGTGCACGACCAACGGGGTCTGGCCAATCATGCTTTAATAATGCCTTTTCTGGCCAGATCTGGCATTTCTATGGTCGTCCAGCCCGTTTCGTGGCCAAAGATGTGGCCATGAAATAACACAGTCAAAGATCTGGCATTTTCACGACCACATCTAAACGGCCATGGATTTGTGATCCATGGCCGGAAATGGCTTTGCTAGCGCATACCGGCCATATACGGCCAGTCGTGCACCATTTCGTTGACTGTTGGCAATGACCAGCGGTGGTGGCTAGTTACCGACAGTGGCTTGGGGTGGGTGGGGGTGATTTTGCTACAAATTGAAGTTTTATATGGTTGGGGTATTTTAGCAAAATTTCATATGTGGGGGGTTAAAAAATAATAAAATATACTATTATATTAATATTTAAAAAAGAGGGCAATTTAGTAATCTATATAACATACCCACCCATTTATCCTCCCAACCAAACATATTATTCATCTATTTATTCGAACCAACCAAACACATTTTCTAAACATTCCCAATAATCTTCAAGGTGATACATCTTTCTGTTAATATAGCATACCCCTATAATAAAACATTATATGATCCAAACGCCTCTTTAAGGGTAAAATTGTAACAAAATTAAGATTACCAAGTAATCTTAAAATACCTAAGAAAATAGAGGTATTCAGATTACCACTTATATAACCAATAATAATTATTATTGCTTTTGGAAGATTACCAGAATCTTATATTACTTGACAATCAAACGTGGTAATCTAAGTAATATAAAGTGACATTATCCCAATAATAAAGGATCACCCCCAACCAAACGCCCCCTAAAAGTATCATCCAATAAAATACGATCGAAGAAAGTCTATAAATATTTAAAATAAAACATGTAATAAAGTGATTAGTTGCCTAAAATTCAAGATATTTGATGATAGAAGGAAAGTTTAAATTGATCGACATTTAATTCTCAAACGACGATGAGGTCCCATCAAAATTACAAATGTGTACATACATAGATGCAAAGTCTGTGCAATTGTTACAACTTACAAATGCTTGATCAATGATTCTACTAATCCGTTTTAGGTATGTAGGTGTGAAACTTGATGCTTAACAGGAATACCCATGGTCATGCAAAAGTCAGCAAAAGTCTTCGATATAAACAATGTTTTAAAACCCAGTTCAGCCCGGCTGGTTGAACCGAGACCCAAGGCCTTCACCAGGTCGAGTTAGTAATTTTCCTATTCACCAAAAACCCTAGAAATTGTGATCAACAAACAATTGAAGGCCGGGATGTTAGGGGTTTTGAAAAGGAAGGGTCGGTGAGTGCAATGGTAGCGATGGAGGTGATTTCCAGTTAATGAATCAATTGGAAATTGCAAAACTAAATCGGCTGCAACAGTGAGCTATTACTACCGATTTGCGAGGCAATCAGGGGAGGGTGAGATGAGTTTTGGTTAGGAGGCTAAGGGGAGTGTTTTCGTGGTGATGGGGGGTGTTGTCATCGCCAAAAACAGATCCTATTTGCCCTGGTTTGTCAACACTGGCAATGGTGTTTGGGGTATTTTGCAAGATTTCAAACTTGTAGAGACTTATATGTAATTGACAAGGGTGTTTTTCTTATATTTTAAACTTTTGGACTCTGGTCAACTCGGGACCCGACCACTTTGTCGGGTTTCACCCTGGGTTGGTTATTAAAACACCGGATATAAATGCTCCAGCATAATCTAATTGTATTGATTTAATTGGATCAACTGGAAACTAAGCTCATAACTTGATAATTGTGCAACTAATCTAAGAAAGTAACGTTACAACTTACAAGTAGTTAGCAATTCTTGTCATACAGAGAAATTCTTCACTTCTTTTCATCTCACTTGTATTATTATTTGCTTTATCAACCCCATGTGATTAATAGGATTTTAATGATAAGCAAATCAAATCTAAACCAACCCTTGGGTGGTCAGGCGGTCAACTGGGACTCTTAGGTGTATTACTTAAAAGGTCTTGAGTTCGATTCTCCTTGGTTGCTAATAAGGGTGGCCACTATAGAAGAAAACACTGCCCTAAATTTTGATTTTTGAACACATTGTATTGCTAGTAACATTCTATTTAAATACAAGTTCTGATGAGCTATCTATGGAAAATATATAACGTAAAGCTATCTATGAAAATTGTAACGCCCCACTTAAGGTATGTAGTTAAATTATTGTTGCATTTATTGAATGTTTATTGATTTATTCTCAATTGAGCTTGTATATTGTTAATATTGGTTGGTTGGCCCTTAGTTGAATTTTGTTGAAGTTATTTTGAGAAAAATGTGAAGAAAATCCCTTAAACTTGCATTAAGGGTAAAATGGTCTTTTCACTCAAAATTAGTTGAAATTGTGGGGAGTGAAAAGAGATAGAATTTCATGGAGAATGCAATAAAAATGAGGGCATTATGGTAATTGACTAAGGGACATAGATGGAATTTTAGCGAAAGTGCAAGGGCAAAATGGGAAAGTGTGGTTATAAATTAAAGTGTTAAGGGTTTGAAACCCTTATTTTCGTTCATTCCACC